TGCCGGGAAAATTCAAAGGACAACTTTTAAGCCTATAGAACTGTAACCAGTCAGTAGTTTTGCGTGTTTTCGCTGTCGACTGAGTAGATACTTACGTAATTTTTCGAGCATCACTGAACAGATGAACTTTCCTGTCTCGTAATTGATCCGTATTCTCAAAGATTAAAGTAGTCACCGTAGCGTTTCAGCAGGACAGTTCTATATAAAAAAAAGAAAAAACTTTATCACTTAGGCTAAAACAGTAGGTGAACGGGAAATAGCTGTTGGACACGCTCACAGACTAGCATCTCGATTCGTACACGTGCGCGCAAGTTTCTGCACCGCCTTTACGGTTATATATATGCTTATATATTTAGATTGTGTTTCAGTGAGAAAATGTTATTCCCCAGCTAAGAGAAGCTATGGATGTTGACTGGACTCCTTATCGAGGGTCTTTGCAGCGAGCCTTTTTTGGCCCTGAAAATTGGAAATTGGCTGATCGAAGTTCCGAATTGGAACGTCTATTTTTAAGATTTTTCGGTAAACTCCAGGAACAACTTAAAAGGTTTAATATATTGTTTTTCTATAGTATGTAAAATAAGGCTCTTTTAAACTTTTGATTTTCACATTTTCAAATAGTTTAGTTTGACTACTTGAAAATCTTTCCCTTTACTGTGAAAAGCTTCTTCTATTGAGGTTGTATAATCGAGTAGTGCTGTTATTTTGATAAACCTATCGTTTTACTACAAAAGTTGAATGAGTAGGAATTTTGTACCTTACCTTGATGTTAACCGTTGTTGCATTATAAAACTTTAGAAGAAAAAGACCACCGCTGGGAAGTACAGCCAATGAGCCTCAGTTAAATCATCTGGGTGTACCAGTCGGGGAATTCAAGAGGGAGTTTACTTCACGGGTCGCTATTGAAGTCGAGAAAGATGAGGATCTAGATTTACGAAATGTTTGAGTTCATTTTTTTTTATTAAAATAGGCTTTTCATTAGGAAGGATTTAGGGTTTTTGTGGTTTCGAAAGTAAGCTCACCTTTTAAAACTTCTTTTGTTTTTGTGATATCAACCCAATGTAGATTATTCTCCTGAACTTTAGTTCTTTTTTAAAGATGATTTAAACTCCTCTTTTTTTAAAATAGTTAAAATAGGAAAATCCTTAAAAAACTGTGTAATTTCTTAGTTTACACATTATAGAGCTATCATTTCTCTTTAGGTACCACCTCAGGTATACGACGAGTATATATACGGCTTATCGAATTTTATTGTTTACAACAACCGACAAAAATTTATGCAGTTGAGGCGATTGCGTGAAACCCAGAAAAACTTGCCGATTGCTCAGAAGCGGGATGAGATTTGTGAGATGTTGAAAGATGTAAAAATCTAGTTGATTTTTTTATATATCGCTTCTGATTTTAGTGCCAGTCTCAGTTGAGTTGTTTATAAGTTTTAGGAGATTTATCGCTGCAGAATTCTTTTAAAATTGTAGACTGAAAGTGTGCCTTTTCAGAATAAAGTATTAATCATTGCTGGGGACACTGGTTGTGGTAAGAGCACTCAGGTCAGTATTTTGTATAATTCAATTTACCTGTTTTAAGGTTTATTTTCTTATAAACATGAATCTAGGTTCCCCAATTTCTTCTTGAGGCTGACTATGATCGTATAGCCTGTACACAGCCACGACGTATTGCTGCTACGTCATTAGCAAGACGGGTCGCGTATGAAACTTTAGATGAATATGGCAGCAAAATTGCTTATCAAATACGTTTTGAAAAAACGAAGACTCTGAAAACACGGTTGCTTTTTCTTACCGAGGGCCTTCTTTTGCGCCAGTTTCAAAGTGACTCAGATCTATTACAATACAGCGTATGGATTTCAGTTAAATTTAGGTTTCTGCATTTTTTGTATGTAGTTCTGCGTAAGTGAAAAAGAGTGCTTGCTAAGTGTACTGAACGATTAAAATTTTTTAGGTAATAATACTTGATGAAGTGCATGAAAGAAATTTGACAGGAGATTTCCTGATGGGGTTGTTGCGCGACTTAGTTTATCGGAGAGATGATTTGAAGTTGATTCTTATGAGTGCAACAATAAACTTAGAACTATTCACTTCCTACTTTGAAAACGCACCTGTCGTTAAAGTAAAGTTGTTTTTGTAAATTATAATCTCTACTATACTTTTTTGGTGCATTTGCTCTCATTTTTGTTAAGCTGGCTTTCAGGACTTTTGACGTTTCTTGAACTTATTTGCAGAAGTTCTAACATTAATATTTTTTAAATTGCGACAGGTTCCAGGACGTCTCTATCCTATTGAGCTGTATTACCTACCAGTTAAGGAGTACGATGAGTATACTGCTGAGAAAAAGAAAGCAAAAATTGATGCCGCACCATACTTAAATGTTAGTTTTTTAACCACTGATCGGCTCATTGTACTTTTGAAAATCCCTTTAGTTTGGATCGGCAAGAAAATTTTATTTTTTTGCCACACGGCGGAACATCTATCTTTTCTAGACTATCTGAAATGATGTCAGATGACTTGATTTTTAAAGCAGTGGTCAACGCGAGAAGAGTTAAATAAAATTTATTTCTTTGACTCAAACTATGCAGGTATTACAAATGATTGACGCAAAGATTCCTCAGAATGAGAGAGGAGACGCCTTAGTCTTTCTGAACGGCATATCTGAAATGACCACAGTGGCAGAGGCACTAAAAGTTTATGCAGAAACTAATAAACGATGGATTATCTTGATGCTTCATAGGTATTCTTTAATATCTAGTTTGAAATTGCTTTCAGAAGAAAGTATATATTGGTTTACTTATTTTATATATATTTTTTAATTTCTTAGTTTAATTTTGATTTTTTTTAATTTTTTTATTGTTTTTTATTGAAGTAAAACTTTGAAATGATCAGTTTAGCACGTTGTCCGTAGAAGAACAGGACAAAGTTTTCGACGTTGCACCCATGGGCGTTCGAAAATGCATTCTTAGTACTAACATTGCTGAGACTTCCGTCACCATAGATGAGGTATGTTACTACCTCAGTACCACTTTCTGATTTTGACTTGGAGTTCTTTAGAAACTCTGCAAATTTCGTTTTGGTTGATTCTACTAAAGCATCTGAAGAACTCACTTCACCTTTGTTTTGTTAACAATACTGAATAAATTTGAAAATTGATCGTCTTAACTGTTTGCACTCATTCTAACTATGGCTTTATGTGTTTTTTTTATAGTTTAGATCCTCAAGAATAATTTTTGCGGTGACTAATTGTAAAGCGCTTTTCTGAGTTCTGGTGTAACGTTTCGGCAGTGCCGGAAGCAGTTTAAAAACTGTAATGTTACTTTCAGGTTCGTTTTGTAATAGATTCAGGAAAGGTCAATTTGGTAAAGTATGATTCCAAAACGGGCGTTCACTCACTGAGGGAGTATTGGACTTCTCAGGCATCTGCTGAGCAGCGGAAAGGTGGTGCTGCACTGTTTTTTCTCTTGATTGCGGGTTTGCTGAAATTATGGCTTGAAACGTGTGAATTTAATAAACCAACATTTCTATATCACTGTTCTTTAGCTTTAATTTTTAAGCTTTTACAACGAAGATTTTCTTTTGAAGCCTTTTTAAACAGACATGTTTAGGTCGTGCTGGCCGTACAGGGCCAGGAATTTGCTATCGTTTGTACTCTAAGGAGCAGTTTTCTAAAATGAATCCGTTTACTATATCTGAAATTAACCGTGTCTCCTTGGAGACGTTAGCTATGCAAATTGTCAATTTAAATATGAGAAGTAAGTAACTGATTTCTTTAAAAAAACTGTCTCTTGAATTTCACAATCTAACTATTCTAAATGAAGGAATTAGAATTTTTAATTAGGCTTCCTGTTTTTGCTTGAAATGTTCAGCTATACTATTGATATAATCAAAGTGATTTCTAACTTATTCATTTTTTCTAGTTTCTCCTCTGCACTTTCCCTTTATTGAAAAGCCAGACATGGGCGCTTTGGAAGAAGCGATCGAAGCCTTGTGGAGGCAGGGGATTCTAGAACCAAATAACGCAACGACGTTGACATCTTTGGGAAAAATAGTCGCGAGTCTTCCAGTTGAGATTCCAATTGCCAAAGTAACTCAGAAACTTTCTTTTTATTCTTTCGCAACGCTTTAAAAACATGATTATAGTTTAGAATTTTCAAAGTAGCTTTTTACATGCTTGATTGCGCACTCCCATCTTTTGTACCTAATCGCATAGCAGAACTTTATTTATTTATCAGTAGTGCATTGATCTTCTCAACGACCGCTATTTATGTTACAGCACTTGGTAATTAGTCGAGGCAATTTTTTAGATGTTAATTTATGGCTGCATCTTGGAAGAAACTGAAGTGTCTTTGACTCTAGCTGCCGGCTTGTCTGTAACGTCGCCATTTACAAGTAGATCGTTTAGAGAAGCCGAAATTATGGATCGCAGACAAAACATAATGTCTGATAATGGTGATCTCTTTGCTCTCATAAATGCATTTAGGTTAGTCTCGTATTAGTCTTCAATATTCTTTTATTTCATCATAGATTCTTTCCCTCAACTGATTTTTTTCACTCTGGTTAGTTGTCACTCTATAACCTGAACAATTTAAAGAGAATTTGTTGACCTCCATGCAGAACGGGCAGAAATTCGTCGTTGGGGTCGAGAAAAGGGCATTGATACTCAACGAATGTACGAAATTAGGTTAGTTTTTACAACGGCCACATTTATTTGTTTCTGCTTCTTTGATAGTATAGTGAGAATCATTAGAGTTCGATTTCTGCGGTGTTGTTTGATGAATTTCTTTTTTAAACTTGGCGTCGGGAAAGAATTTATCATAAATCAGAGTTTTGTTGATCTTAGCTTATAGCTGTGTTACCATTTGTTATCATAATTGATTTATAGTCAGCTGCGACGTCAGTTCAAAGAACTTTTGGAAGATAGTAATCTTATTGCGAAGGATTCAGTCGAGGATAGTAGAACGCGACGTATAACTGTTGGTGAACGGAAACGTTTGAATGTTTTAAAAAGAGATGCAAGGTCGTTCTCGTCTTTCAGGAAATTGAAAAAATAGTTTCCTAACTTGTTCTTTAATTATTTGAAAGATTTTTTCAGGTTTGAAGTAAAAAAGAGAAAAGTTCTGAAATCTGACGCTCATTATGACTCAGTTTTGGCCGCAGCGGGAGGTTACTTTTTGCTTCATTAAAACTTCATTATCCTAATATTACTCATTTTAGAAGTGTTTGGCCAGCGTTTGGAGTTTGCTAATTATTTTTGAAAAAGTAGGTAGTGACTGTGCTTTAAAAAATTCTTTAAAAGTTTTGATCAAATGGCTTTTCATTATATTCATCGCTTTAAAACTGGTAACGATTGGTGAGGTTGTGAAAATTTCGTAGTTAAATGGCTAGAAAATACATTTTTCACTCAAAACGTTTTCCAAGTATCAGTTCTCTTCTGATGAAAAAATGCTTTCAAAAATTTGATAAACTGCTTACAGTTTTCATGTTTTTAGTGACTGTTGCATTTATCCTATCTTATTAAAAAAAATCAATTCTTTAAAATTCATCGATTCACTTACTGCTATTTCGTGTAGTTGTCTGTCATATTGGCTGTTTAAGTCTTAAAACACACCTTTTAGATGAAACTACTTCGATGGATACTATTATGGAAGCTGAGTTTTATCTAAAGAATCGTGAAAGCGGCATCAATAAGATATTAAGGTCGCATCGCCCTAATGACAAAGCAAGTACTGTCATAAAAGCTATTGTAGCTGCGGGCGTTTATCCTCAGTATGCTGTTCTAGACCAGTATAACGTGTATAAGGTAAGTTCTTAGCGATTCCAGGTAACAGGATTTAGCAAAAAATTTACTGTGAGGTATATTTTGAAAATTTGGTCTCTGTCGCACATAGTTATTAACACGTATAGCTATAGGTTGGCAATGAACTTTTCGCTCACACTCGTTTAAAGCCTTTCGCAGTCCTGCATCCGAACAGTTGTTTAGCACTTTTTCCAGATGCTCTTGATTACGACCGCAGTGATGATGTAAGTCCTTAATAGTTAATATTCTTTCTTCTTGAGTTTATAAGAATTTCTCAAACACTTGACCTTAGTAACGTTATATGAAACAAAAGTTTGTGGTCTTTTTCACCTGATATTTTAAAAGGAACAATTGAAATTTTTTATTTATTCAAGTCAGCACCTTAAGCCTCCTCGTCAGTTCATATTTATAGCAAAATTCCATATACAGTTTCTTGCCGATGCGGCTAAAAAGTATTCGTAACTTGCGTATTTACCGAAAAACCCCTAAATCTTTTTATTCTGTTCCCCTCTGGTTGTTTAAACTGAAACCCAAAAATTAAAGAATAATTTTTGTAACAACTGTCTAAAATTGAAGGCTGTTCTAGAAACACTTTGCTGTTATTTAAATAGGCTGTTTTAAAAAGTATATTTTATTTTGTTGAGATCTAGAGCATGGTATTTTTTTACAGAATCTCTCCAGACATCATCAGCTGATCTCTTTCGCAACTTTCATGGAAACATCGAAGCCATTTCTGTGCCACAATATCAGGGTTCCAGCGTTACTTCTTCTCATCTTCGCAAAGACAGTAATCTTTATTAAATGGTTCAAATGAAGTGAGATAAAAGCTTTCTGATTTAAAACCACTTCTTGCTTTGCAAGAGGTCGCAGTGACATTAAAACGATTATATTATAGGTAGTGTGCTCAAGTGACGAATACGTCATTACTTGTGACGATTTTGTAACCTTCAAGTTTTATAAGGGAACCGACTATTTTCTGACCATCGACAAGGCTTCCTCTATAAGACGTTCATTTGCTGTGGTCATGAAAAAGCGGTTAGAGGGGGAAGGTGTTGGAGATCTTGGTCTAGCAAAAAGCATTATTTCATTCTTGAGGAGCGACGTCGAATTCATGTTGGTGTTTATTAGGCCATTCTTTGTGCACATAAATAAAAAAGCATTTATTATTTGCCTTTTTAGTATGACGCGTAAAGCTTGTCCAAATTTGGATGTAGAAATTGGTTTTTTCTTGCCATCTGGAGAGAAACTGGATGAGTCAGAAGATTCTGAAGAGTCCACTGTTCAGTCCTTTTTGATGTCTGGGGAAGTTAATAGTTCAGAGGTACGTTGAAACCTGTTTTTTTATGTTTTGGTAACAGCTCTGAATTTTTAACGAAAACCAACAAATAAATCTGTTAAGGTCGAAGACGAGCGAAAACTTAAAGATCCGTCGAAAAAAGTTTTTCAATATTATTGTGATCGATGTAAGAAAACGATCGATTTTGAGTCTGCAGTAGCCGTACTGAAGCACAAACGATCACATAATTAAAACACTGGAGTTACGACTTGAATAAATGCTTGCTGTAAAACAAACTGACTTGAGTGAGGGATTTCTTGGAAAGGGAGGGAGGGGGTAGGAAGGGGGATAAAGAAAGGGGGGACTTGAACTTCGCTTTACTTTGTAGTGTGGTCTTCGGTGGGATGATTGGAGGACTCGAGTGGAACCAAAATATCTCTCTTGAGCTAATACCAGTACTGCTTCTGAAGATCTTGCCAGTAAATTATTTATTTATTTTTTTTTTTTTTTTGAAATGTCATTAGTACAAAATTGTTGATTAGCACTCATTAGATTTTGGTTTCGTTACTGTCCCATTTTTCTTATTTTACTTTTGCCGGCAGCACTTTAGAAAGTGGAACAGTAGTCTCTGTGATACAACGGCAAGTTGCACTGTTTGTGTTGATGTTCAGATTAATGAAACTTTTTGCTGAAACTTGATGATATGCCATTGGTTTATATCAGTGTCATACTGCGGTGTCAGAATTCTCAGATTCCGAGCACTGTTAAATTAGTTAAAACGATCACCGCCGCTTTTTGTGCGAAATTGATAGGCGAGTAACCTGTGAAATTCAAAAAGTTTGCACTATCGTCGTGCAGCTTTATGCGATGATGCCACGAACCTTTTGCGCTTCAAATTTCTTCTATATCTTCGAAAATGTTCGGTTTGTTTATAGTTTGGATGGAGGCACAGCTATTTTTGACTTACTCTTCGGCGTCATTCAACCAGTGAAAATCTTTTTTTTTTTTAATTTAACTTTCTGTGAACTCATGTGTGTGTTTGGTAATATACACATGAGTTTACAGAAAAGCCAGATAGATAGCGGACTTGCAGGACTTAGCAATAAAATTCGGGCTGTCTAATAATACTTTTGGAAGTAAAACACCGTGCTCGTGGCTGCGATTTAAATAGTGACTTAAAAATACCTGTCGTCTTCGAAGGTTCAGAGTTGGAGATTGTCAAGTAGCCATCCGTAATGTTTTATATTAGGAGATTAAACGCATGGGTTGAGAGCTGAGTGCTGGAAAGGAATTAAATTTTCAAATTTACTCCCAGTTACGAAGTTTGGGGTCGTTTTTCATCCGTTAGAACATTTATTTTTAATTGGAAGTTTATTGCTTCCAATAATCGCTGATAAATTTTTGAAGCCAAAGAGTAACGCTTTTTCGATGTTTCTTTCTTGGGCCGAGTAAATCAAGATCGTCGTCGGTTGCCTGTCTGTTATGACGCTCATAAATGGTGAATTTATCACCAAGTGTGGTTGCACATTGATTAATTTTGTCACTGCTGTTTGATCATGTCCCCATTGCCGGTCTTCCGCACTGAAAAATTGATGAAGATTGTTTGGAAACAGAATGGAAGTAAAAGATTAAGTGGCTATAATTTAAGGGTATTATTAAGACATATAAATTTGATGTTTACTACGTCATAGTTGGATTGTGATTATTGTAATCAGTAGGAAGTCATGGAGACTAAGGACAGAAACTGTATATGGTTTTATTTGGTGTATTTTGATAATTGTATTTTCACAGAGCAGTTGCTAGCCGTATATTCGGGAGGCAAATCTAGTTTTGCCCATAGTTTACTGCTCTTCTGACTAATGTCTAATTGATTTTTTTTTTTTCTTGCAAACTAGAGGTAGTTCTTTTGGAAGTGGCTGTTTTTTTTTTCTCCCGTTTTGTTTTGTTTTGTTTCGTTTCGTTTTCTTTCTTTTTTCACACAATAAGGGATTTCAATCCGAACTTTTAATGGTTGCAAAGGTTACATAAAATTGCAAAAAAGTGTTGTAGCACGGAAGGCAGCAAAGCAGCTGAGCGTTGATGGAAAACGAGGCACCCGGCATT